CCCTGCCTAATCTGACGCGGGAAGGAAGGCATAAGGGTAGCTGCCAAAAAAAGAAAGAGAAAAATGTAGCGTGGCAGCCTCAGCAGGTAAAATAAAAAATGCCAAGCCGAAAATTAAGCAAAAACGAATTTGGTGGTTTGAGGGTTTGTAATAAGTTTGTATGAAAAAATTTCTGAGTAGATAATTAAACATTACATAAATAGAATTAGATATGATGTCGATTGTTAAAGATTTTAGTGGCTTGATTTCCTTGATTGCAGTAAGATCAGATTCGAACTATAAGAGGTAAACGGGATCTAATAAAGATATCTGATTTATTAGATGTTAGGATATATGAGTGGTGGACAAATATAGAAAAATAATGGAGCCGATTTATTACTATGCCGATGTTAGACGAAAATATTCGTAGTGATTAACTTAATGTAGAAAGAAGAGAATTATTAAAGGGAATTTCCGCTTATTTTAACTGAAACGACATGATTTGGCATATATTCGTTAGCAGAGCATGATGATCAATGTCACTTATGGGAGCGAAAGTGATCGGGCTAAATGGTAATGAATAACAAGTTCAAATTAGATCCTATTATTTATAATTTTGTAATAATATATTCCTTAAAAGGGAAATTGAAGTGAATATGCGCTTTATGCGTCATGATAGGCATTTTTCTTTAACAGTTAATTGATTATATTAAAGGAATGTTCAGAGAAGATAGTTCCCAGTAAAACTCCCTTAGTGAAATTCAATTTATTAGTAAGAATGTCTTAAATGCTTAGAATCCGAGCCCAACAGCATAGCTAAGGGGCTTCTGTATGAGAAATAAAGGCAGTTCAATATGAAATTACATGAAAGGATACAATTCTAAACTAAAAAAGGATTTAGAATGATAAGCATGAATCCAAACAAGACCCAAGAATGGTGTCAAGAGTAGACGCAAGCATACTAATAGGAAAATACGAATAGCATCTTGGACTTTATTATTATGACCTCGTCAAGGTGGCTCCAATAGGCTAAATAAGTTAAATTGGTGTCACATCCAAACTTATGAAGAAAGTGCCCTTAGCTATCCTGTGTCGATCTACCAAGTAAAAAAATGTGATGCTTTTATTGAATAGATCTAATATTCAACGTCTTCCCTTAATCTTATATGTATCAATCGTGAAATCGTTTATTATGTTTACTTTATTAATGAAAATCTTGGTCATATTGGTAGGAAGAGTTATAGGAACGCATTAGTCCGGAGTCAACTGCATGCATGATAATTTCCAAAGTCGGACCGTGGACGTGGAACATTCCCAGACGTTTCGCCGGCATCGTCAGTGAGTCTTGCCATTCTTAGCACTTACAACAACTTTTCAAAGGGACAAGGGAAGCCGATCCTCTGACCAAATGTGTGCTAACCAGTTGTGAAATCTCCCCTATCCTCGGCATTCAACTCTCCTATATCCTCGTATCACGCCTTCACTATCACAATTTTTTCCTTACTAATTTAAATCTAGTGTAATGTGCCCTTTTGTGCGGCTTTAGTGAGAACTCTCCATACTCCATGCTGGCGTTCTCACTCCCCTTCATTCTTGTGCTGAGAATGTCGATCAGAGTCTGCCATATTGTTACACAATCCTACTTCCCTGGATGTTATCAGGATCTCCCTCTTTCTCAGTAGGATCCGTCTGCTATCTCCCTAGTTCAATTAACTCACTCGACTCCTGCCACCCCATCTGTGCTACTCGAGGCGTTATTACCCATCCCCTGAGTCCGAGTGTCGAATTTAAGGCTAAATCCTCTGAGTAAGACTCATGGGCAAGCCTTTGCTACATGACCAAGTCTATGGTAAAACAGGCCTACTGTCGCCCAATTAGCCCCAGTCTCCGCCGGGTCAATCCTGTTTCTAGCCCTAATAGCAAGTCATAGACTTGGTAGTAGTGATAAAAACAGGATAGACGCGGCGCAGCCTAGAGCTAGTTGGCTAACAGTAGGTCTGTTTCACCATAGACGTGATCCATATAACAAAGGCTTGACAATGAGACTTACTCAGAGGATTTAGCCTCGAATTAGACACCCAGACACAGGGGATGGGTAATAACGTCTCGAGTAGCACAGATGGGGTGGAAGGGTCGAGCAGACGGATCCTACGGAGCAAGAGGGAGATCCTGATAACATCCAGGGAAGAAGGACAGCGTAACAATATGGCAGACTCAGATAAACATTCCCAACACAAAGTTGAAGGGGTGTGAGAACGCCAGTATGGAGTGTAGAGGGTTCTTATGAAAGTTGCTCAAAAGGGCACACCACACTAGACCGAAATAAGCAAGGAAAAAATTGTGATAGTGAAGGCGTGATGCGAGGATATAGGAGAGGTGAATGCCCAGGATAGGAGAGATGCCACAACTGATTAGCACACATTTGGTCAAAGGATCGGCTTCCCTTGTCTCTTTGAATAGTTGTTGTATAGTGCTAAGAATAACAAGACTTACTGACGATGTTGGCTACGATACCGGGAAACGTCTGGGAATGTACCACGTCCACGGTCCGACTGGAAATTATCATGCATACAATGGTGCGTTCTTTTAAGTCTTCTTACCAATATGAACAAGTTTCGAAAATAAGATTAAACAACTTCTATACAACGAAAGGAAACTGCGACCACACAAAGAGCCACACCATCTTTGTTTTCATATCATCGATTAAGCCATTTATCCCGATAATAATATTTGTATCCTTCTTATAGTTTATATGCATCTACCTAGCTCCTGCTACCAGAATAATATTAATACAGGAAGATCGAGTGAAAACTATCTTATATGAAGTCAACAGGAAAGTGTAGATTGAAAAATACTTCGAGTGATGAAATAATAGAAAAGGGGTGAAAATTGTACAAATGAAAATCTTTCAAGTAAGCAACTCATTATAATGTCTATGATTAAGGCATTATAGGCCAGTTGATTGAGACGCAAGATTTCTGATCCCTAGTGTTTACAGACAGAGGAAATAACAATCGTCAGCTGGTGCTAATAAGGACTTTACACATACCGATAATAGCTACAATGATGACAGAGAAAGTAGTAAGGGAGATGGCGCAGATGACGGTCAAGGACGAGAGCCGGCTTGGGGCAGAAAATAGCAGCCGTTACCACGGTATTATGAGCCTTTATGGCCTCCCAAGACTTGTTTCTATCCTTTCTTGTGTTTGAGAAGCGAGAGACATGCGATATATCCACTTGTTTGCGCCATATATAGAAGAATGCGTTCTCAGAACCAGATATGATGTAGCAACCACTGGGGCTTTAAAAAGATACAAGGAAAAAATAAGGTAAAAATGGTAACAATAAAGTAAGAAATAGTATAAATATAATACAGTCAATAAAGGATGGACTAAAATAAACAACAGACTACTAATGGTAGTCCCATTTTACGTATTAGTAGCTCTAAAGGTTCGAAGGTTAAAATTTCAATTTATTTAGGGAGTTATAAAGAAGCAACCAGTTTTATCCGTAGAATGTTAGTATTTCATGCAGCCTAAAAAGTAAATTACCATTAAAGATGAACTGCTGTTTCAAACTCAATCTATATCGAACATTAGAACTGACCGGACGTAATCGTCGTTACCACTACGTGGAACAAGTATCAAAATTAAAAGATACCTAAAAGAATATTTCCTGTCCTATATATTAAGAAGATAGGTGATGCAGATGGACTGATGCTTAAGTTGCTGTAATTCGATTCGCTTGGCTAAATTTAGAACCCCATTGGGAATTCTGATGATAAACAGACATG